CCCTACATATCCCCCATATAACCCCTATATAATCCCCCATATAACCCCTATATATCACCTATATAACCCCTATATATCCCCTATATCTCCCCTATAGAACCCCTGTACATCCCCTATATACCCCCTTTAAGGAGAATAGCTCATATGGAGAAACCGCTCTTTCTCCGGAACCACGCCTCACAGAGGTGGGCTGCCGAGGTTTGCCTCACCACAGTCTACGGCGTTGCTTCGATATATAGGGGTTACATAGGGGTTATATGGGGGTTATATAAAGGTTATATAGGGGGGTATATAGGGGTTATATAGGGGTTATATAAGGGATATATAGGTGTTATATAGGGGATATATAAGGGACATATTGGGATAATGGAAGCTAAAATGGAAACTGCTATTCGGGGTTTAGGGTTTAGGGTTCCTCACTGGGGTGTTGATTGATGAACGGAAATGATCCTTGTTGGGTCTCAGCAAAATAGTTGAATTAGGGTTCCATGTTGGTTATAGATTATATTGCGTCACCTGAATATTTAGGGGTACTAAAATGGAGCCCTAATTTTGTGAACGAAAACAGATATTCAAAAACAAGCTCGGGATGGGTGTAGGGGGTTCAGACTTCAAGAGGCGTTGAAACTACAAAACCTGCATGACCCTAAGTATCTATGTGCAGGGAATTGTGGCATTATATAGTAAAGTAGAATCATGCAGGATTTTGTATCAACAGTAGTGAATAAGGCCATTACTCCATATACTTTTGAGGGTCCAGGTCGGCTCTTCCGCACCTAGAACCCACTGGACCTCCTGAATACAGTAGTTTCCATTTCGTTTCTTCTGCTCTTTTCCATGTTGAGCCATTGTCTAAACTCCTAGTATCCCCCTTATGAACCCCTATAATAGTCCCCTATAGAACTCCCCTTTTTAACCCCCTTTAAGGAGTTTAGACCATAGCTCATTTGGGGTTATATCCCTAGAGCTAAAACCCTATTATAACCCATATATATATATGCCCCATTATATTGTAGTAGTTTCCATTTTCTTTTCCATTATCCCAATAAATCCCCAATATAAATCCTAAACCCTAAAACCTAAACCGCAAGAGCAGGGATGGCCTGGCTCCATCGCAGTTCATGAAGTTGGCGCCCGCACGGAGCCAAAGCTCCAAGCGCTCCTTGCTCGGTGGCCACCACCTGTTTCTGCCCTTTTGCCCTTTTGAGTAGCGGTTTTTTTGGTGGTTGAACCTATTAAGATTATATTCCTTATATAAAATACTATAACCCAAAAGGAGGATATAATCTTACTCTTTATTGGGTACCATAGTATCCTCAAATAAAATACTACTCTCTTGGAATCTTGGGGCTTATGGAGCTTAGGGCTGCAAGGCACTATAGGCTGAAGAGCGCTTGAGGCTTCAGGGTTTTCAGGGTATTTGGGACAGGTTGGGGTTCAGGGCTGCAAAGCTAGAGTCGCCAGACCGAGCCCCCAGTGTTCCGGGAGCCTCCTTGTACCCTTAAAGAGGGTCAAAGGGTCCCTAATAGTGGCCGGGTATGTAAGGTATAATAGAGATCTCAAGGAGGGACTAGGTTAAACTGCACGAAAGGCGTGGATATTGGCGAAGCTATTGCTTGTGTGTTTAGGGTACGTACTTATAAGTAATTGACTTGTTCTGGTTTGGTAGAAACCGAAAGATGACCCCTGATAACCTCATTTGGGTTGCCTCTCATTGGGTTACAACTCCTGCTGCTCAGGATGTAACAGGCATCATGCACGAGCAAGCCCCAGCAAGCCCCATTAAGACATTTCACATGTATGATTTCTGGGTTTGACAGGGAGTAGTTCAGGCTTTTGGGATCAGGGTGTGGGCGGCTTAGGACTTGCACTAAGGATGTAGCAAGTGGTTGCGAGGCTTGGTGGGGCGCAGTCACAAAGTCGTTGGTTGAAAAGATGCTCGGACTTGGGTTCATGCTTTGCAAAGTGGTGTTTGCTTTTACATCCTGAATGCCTAAGCGTCGCGGTCATTTTGAACCGCCCAAGATATGGATCCTCCATGGGCGCACTGCCTCTGCCGAAGGTGAACCGCCAATTGTGGACATCACAGCAGGCGCATGTGGGGTTTACGTGTGGTCTACTTAACTGCAGTATCCTTGTAGCTCATTGAGGGCTGTAGTGGAGTAGCGAAGATAGAGCCACATGATGTATATACGCTGTACCCTACGTGGTCGTTGTTCCTAAGGTTTGCATATTTTCCTCTATTCGTCATAGCTGAAGCGTAAACCCCAAGCTCTCCCCGAATCTCCCAAATGCCCAAACAGAATATAATTGGGTCCCAAAGTACCTATCTACCAACATGTTTGGACCCAAAGTATGCAGTATATAGCAGCATGTGAGCTGTAGCCTGGACTCCTAGTATTCCCATTAAGAAGCCCTATAATGCTCCCCTATTCAACCCCTTTATGGAGTTTAGACTATGGCTCATGTGAACAAACAAGCGAACCCTCGTGGCCTCCCGCGCTCTTCGCGCTCTGCTTTCTTTCGAGATTCCTCCTGCAGAAGCCACGGCTTCGAAGGACTACACGGCGAGATGCCCAGCTGCACACCTAGTAGATTCCTAAGCTGTAGGTAGGCTAAAGAGAAAACAGCCCTAATGGCTAGCACGGCTCCAGACCTCATGAGGCTTAAATGAACTGGGAGCCGGCTTTTACAAGGGCAGTTGGGGTCTAGAGTAGAAGCCCCAAATAGCACTGACCCCCTGACAAGAAATCTTAGAAGGCAATATTGCAAGAAAACCCAGGAATTTCTCGGATGGTGTGTCCTACCTAGGGGCCCCTTTTGAGATCTACTTCAGACTGTGGGATCTAAGGGTACCTTTGGCGGGTTTCACCCCAAAGTCTTCACCAAAAAGCAAGGGCGCGACCTTTTTACCAACCCTGGTGGCCACGTGAGTTGAGAGGGAAGCACTGAGTGAAGAACGGCTGGTGAAGATTTCTAAAAGCAGGGGGCCCTAGGGACTTTGAAGGGGTAGCTGCGGATTTGAGTGGGATTAAGGGGTCCTTATTAGGGTAGACGGTGCCTCTTTCATGAAACCCTCACGTAGAAACGTAGCTCAAAACTGCCTCATGATTCAACGCGGGCTTTCGAAAAGCGCATGCAGCCAGCAAGTTGACAATGATGACGCATCTGCTGCTGCTGCTGCTGCTGCTGCTGCTGCTGCTGCTGCTGCTGCTGCTGGCAGCAGCGGCGGGGCACGGGGTGGGGGCGGTGTGCCAATGTATGTGAAGCTGGGAGTTGAGTGTAATAGCTTAAGCTTGGTCGCTTGAAGTTCCAGACTCCTGGGTTCATGGCTGCAGCGTTTTCTTTTCAGATGCACATCCAAAAGCCCTCACCACTAGCATGTTCCTCTACATCATACACACAAAGTGGTGTTACATTGTGGGACACACGCATCATAGCTGTAAATGCTGAAGTATGCTAGAACGGCATCAAGCAATGCCCAAAACCTGGCCGAAACCTAGTTGCGAAAGGGCCTCGAAGCCCAGCCCTTCCAAAATCTCAAGCCCTTACGTCGCATCGCAGCAAATCTCCATGTAGCCTTTTCCACTCGCGTGCTTGGAATTTGTCAAGCTGCTAGATGACCTTGAATTTTCTTCTAGGCATGAGCAAACGTGAGATCTCCGCATGTCCTCTTGCAGATGCGTGCACTAAAGCTGTATTGCCATTCAGATCAGACAGGTCGTTGTCCGCACCAGCTTCCAAAAGCAACCGAACAATCTCCACATGTCCACTGTCACAAGCGTACATGAGAGCTGTCTCGCGGGCCCAATCTCGCGCGTCAATGTCAGCACTGGCTTCAACTAGCAATTGAGCAATCTCCAGCTGGCCGTTTTGCGCCGCATGCATGAGAACTGTTTTGCCGCGCTGACGGCATATGTCCTTGTTAACACCAGCCTCCAACAACATTCGCGCTGTCTTTAGGTGACCGGGTTCTGAGGCGCAAGAGATGAGCTCCAGCGCAGCTTCATTGCAAAGGTTGCCCGTGGAGAGGGATAGCAACACCAGCTGTATCTCAGCGTCGCCCTCCAGCTTCAAGGAATCATTCAAAATGCTGCCATTATCAGATAGAAGCCGTTGCATGCAGAGAGGAAAACCATGCAGCCTCCTCAGCATGTGCTTCAATGCGCTGATGTGTTTAACCTCCTGAGTGCTCACGGAAGCCAGCTCTTCCCCTGCAATACTGCAGACACGCAGCATCGCATCGCAGCAAACGGTGGCTTAGCCGCAAATGGTATAGGGTTTAGGGTTTAAGGTTTAGGGTTTAGGGTCCAAGTCCCAAATAAGAATCCAATTCAGAATCAGTTTTTAGTATTTGGAAACATGAAGGCGAATATAAGTGGTACATGGAATCTTTGGGCCGGGCAGTGGGAAGAATTAAACTTCATCAGTAGAAAAACACTTCCATAAGCCGCAATCATGCGTCATGGCAAAAAATATGATTTTATTGAGCTTCTATGGAGATTCTGTTGGGGTATTGCGGTTATAAGAGGTTTTTGGGTGGTTATATGGGGGTACATGAGTATGAGGCGTGACTTTAGTAAGTGGAGCCTATATAAAAAGGTCATAGAGGTACGCCCACAAAACAACTCTGTCTCAAAAGGGCTTGTTGCAAGCGGGCAGTTCTGCTACAAGCTCATGTTGCGGAATGGCGCGCAAGTCTGCTACCAACTCTATCTTTTTATTCGCAGCCACATTGGTGCGCGGTTCAGATTAACCTATACACCATTCCATACAATAGCCACGCACAACAATCAGAGCCACAGTAGATGATCAGTTGAGCGATTCAAGCAACTGAAGCCTCGATTTTCTTGAAACAGTGGCCCTAACACCCCATATTTGATACTTTTCTAAAATAGGGACCAAACTATAGACCCCCAAATACTATAATCCTTGTTATAGGGACCCTCAAAAGGGTACCCCTAATTTTGGGGAACCCCGATTCAGGTTTACAGTTGAAGGTATGGCCGCCCTTAGCCTCCCGATGCGGCTTAAGCACCATTCTGGTAGAGGCGCTGTAACCCAAGGGATCCAAAAGTAGGTACCTGAACCCAAAAAGTATGTAGAGTAAAGGCCTTTCGGTCTGTATTCAAGTGTTTTGGGGCTATTGCTTCACCTACTTTTGGGGTTCAGGTCTTGCTTGTAGCCAGTAAGGCCCCCAAAGTGGGTGTTGTTCATAGGCTTTTGTCCCCGGGGTATACAAAAGGAATCTGTGAAGCTGTTCTGATTACAAAAATGTTGGTATCCAAGCCCCGCCGTTGAGTGGCAAAGTCTGTACTCATCCTTCACCTTGATCCCTAAACCCTAAGCCCTGGGTTTAGGGTTTAGGGTTTGGGTTTAGGGTTTAGGTTTAGGGTTTAGGTTTAGGGTTTAGGGTTAGGGTTTAGGGTAAAACCGGAAACCCTAAGCCTTAAACCCTAAATGCAAGGTTCAGGGTCTAGGGCCTAACATTCCCAAAATATCCCAAACGATCCCCAAAATGGCCCCAGCATAGTACCATCATAAAACTTGAGACTTGAGAATTTACATCTTTAGGGCCGTGTAGGAAGATAGATTTTTGAGGGCGAATAGATCTTGTGCCTGAAGCCCCTGCATCCCTAGCACCCCTACAGACCAATTCAGACCCCTACCCTGTGCTTTGTGGACCAGACTCCCTAAGCCCATATTATGGCCCAGAACTTATTATTAACAACAAACCTACAGAACCCCTATACAACCCCTACAAAAATCCGATATAATCCCAATATAACCCCTATGTAACCCCAAATAATCCCTATGTAATCCCCAATTCCCTAAACTCTCGGCCTCTGCTCTCATGGCTTCCACCTCTTCAGGAACTTCGGGCGTGTGAACCATCTCGACGGCAGCCTCCAAGGCTTTGATCAGGGTCTGAAACTCAAAGCTCAGCTTCAAAGTATTGCTTAGTGTTGAGACCTTAAGGTTTAGAGTTTAGGGTTTCGAGTCTGGAGTTTAGGGTGGGTTTAGGGTTTACAGCTTAGAGCTTAAGTCCTCAATGCGGCCCACCAAATTAGAGTAGGCTTTTTCAGGCAACATTCAACTGAATCACCATAAACCCTAAAATCTAGACTCGAAACCCTAAACTCTAACCTAACGTTGGTAGCTCTTCAGTCTTCTACTTTGGGGGGCCGGTCTCCTGTTGTAGGGGAAGAAGGAATGGGCTGCAGGGGTGTTTAAAGACTTACTGCCAGTTAGTAAGGAACCGGGTATCGAATCCTGGTCTAATTCCTATATCATGCTGGAGGTGTGATGTATATATGCACATGTATATATATATACACACGTACATAGGGTTTAAAGGTTTTGGGTTTAGGGTTAGTAGGGAATAAGGGCGTATGTTATATAGAAAAAACACAAGGATTTCTTTCCCTCGCTTTTTTGCTAGCCACCAGTGAGAAGAATTTGCTGTGGAGATCGGGGTCAACTGTAGGGATTGATGATGGCTTTTCCTTGCTTGACCAGACAGGAGGGTCTTGACATAAGAGACTACAAGTCAGTAGCGTCTGGGGATCGGAAGGGCCCACATGTTTTAGTAAGACGTGTCTGCTTATGCATCCATGTGTAAACCCAACGATAACTTCATCAGGAGCGCGAGACTCTACACCAGCAAGCTCAGAAACCCCAAGAAAAAGCTGAACCACAAAGCCATACGTCCTAAACTCCATGCCATAAGCATGTACCTGGTGCACTATTCTGAAAAGCCCAAAGCCGTGAACGTCAAACTCCAAACCGCATCCCCTGATCCCCCAGAAAGTTGTGCTACTGAAACTACCCACTGTCTCGGCCTGAGGGACCCACTATCAGGGATATCGCTCCCTAGCCCTAAACTAAACCCTAAACCCTAAATCCTAAATCCCTACGCCCTACATCCTTAAACCCCAAACTCTAAGCCCTGATTTCCAAAACTGGCATGCGAATGTTGCCTGCAAGGCATCCTCCACGTCCTGTCTCACTTCAAGGTTTCAGGATTCAGGTTCAGGTTTGAGGGCTTGGGATTTAAGGTGTGCAGGTAGGATTTGGGGTTCCAGGCTTTGGGGTTGAGGATTTAGGGTTAGGGTGTACGCTGTTTTTAGGGGTTTGAATGACGATTATGCGCAAGGAACATGAGGGCGCATGATTACGATGTAGCCAGAGTGAAGGCAACCTTACAGAGATTTGCTAAGGGCTAAGGGCCTACTTTTGCCAGGTGTCTCCATTTGAGGTCAAGGGTGTTTTCTCTTAGATGTGTTCAGGGTACTACGAATGATGTTGGAGGGGAGGTAAAATCAGAACGCGTGCCTTTCAAGAGAGACTACCTAAGGCATGGGGAAGGATCTTACTTTGCGATGCTCACTTGCCACAAGGCCACCCTGAGATGCCCTTACAGAGTGATCCGAGTGCTCAATACGGCAGGACTATCTCAAGTAAGAAGGGCCAGCCATGCTACTGAAAAAAACGGGTCTGTTCGTCCTGAAGATCCTGCTTGACTGGGAACCTCCGTCTGCATGGGAGACAGTCATGCGGAACGCAGAGCCCTAAATCCAAATCCTGAACCTCATAGGGGGATTCCAAGTCACGGACCACCTTCAGAATGTTCAGCAAACATGCGGCATTTTGGGGCGGGCAAGCTAGCCGGTAGCGCAATGGACCCCAGCTTGTAACAACTGCCCAAGAATGGTATTTCCCACAATAGCTTTCCGCCGACGCACCTGAATTCAGATCCGCCCAACAGTCACACCAGCAAAGGGTCCCAGAAGTCCAAGACACGCCCATATATGTTGGACTTCCCGACGCTAGGGGTACCCATAAAGACCGCAAGAATATCTGGTGAATATGGCCAATGTGGCGCTTATCTTGCGACAAATCCTCTTGATATTCTTACATATGGGCACCCGCTATGCCTAGAGAACTCCCCCACCCACACACACACACACACACACACACACACACACACACACACACACACAAACAAAAACCTCGGAATTGCCTGAGGCTACCCTCATCCCGAAGCCTTAGTCTCACTTCTCCCTAAACCATAATCATGAATCCCCGATCCTGCACCCCAATCCCTAAACCTATCCCCCAAACGCCACGAATCCTTAACCCATTAACTATTAGGATAGTATCGATCTGTAACCCTATATTAACCGATATCCCTATAGAATCCTCATACCACCCTAAACTCGAAACTCAAAGCCGAACTATAGCAGCTTCCATTTCTTGCTCCAACTTCTTTACACTTTGATCCTCCATTATCTCGCCTATATATGACCCCTAATGTCTGTGGGCCCTGCAGGCCCGCGTTTACTCTCAACATCAGAGGCGAGATAATGATCCTGAGACGGTAATTAAGGGCATAACCCTGAGTCCTACAACAATTTTTTGGGTGGTAGCCTCTGGTGTCTAGTAGCGTGTGGGCAATTCAAAGAAAGCCCAGTTTCGATGGATTCTTGGACAATGTCCACGACGTTCACTGGGCGCAGAACGTGCCGCCGCCCACAGATCCCTGGAAGTGGGGTGGCAGGTGGCGCCACCGGCGCATGGATATTCAGCCCTGCGCAAGCAGACGCCCTAAACCTTAAACCGTAAACCCTGAGCCCTAAATCCTGAACCCTAAAACCCTGAACCCTATGAAGCCCTACCCGAGCCTGGATGGGTGCCTTCAGTGCCTCGGCCTCCACAGCATCTGCCACTGCCTCCTCGGCCTCTGCCACCTTTCAGACTACATGCTGCGACTGGTTATGGTTTAGGGTGTAGTATTTAGGGTCTAGAGTTTAGGATTTGGGGCCTAGAGTCTAGGGTTTGGGGTCAGAGTTTAGGGTTTAGATTCAGGGTTTAAGGCTTAGGGGTTCGGGTCCAGGGTTCAGGGTTTGGGACTTCTAGAGGACTGCACAATTCCAGTGATTATTATATAACTTCCAGTACCACAGGTAGCCACCAAGGAATATAGCTGGAATCAGATCAAGGATCCTGGTGTTGTTTGAGGTCGATTCCTGGATTAATTAAGATGCATTGGGCTCTGTGGTAGGTTCCAGGACTTGTGGCACGTAGGGTGGTGCAGCATTCCTCGCATCAACATAGAATGCGCAAATCAGAATGCTAAATGAGAAGCCAACCACAGACCGAAGGATATACATAGATCTTAAGTATATGCGTCTTCTAATGAGGTGGTTACTATACGGACCTTAGAAAGCCCGTGTGAT